CACGAATGCCTCAGTTCATGACCAAATCGGGTCGCAAAAAAAAAAAATTCATTAAAAGTTTGACTCAGGTTGCAAACTCCACTTTGGGTGGCGACTGCAATCACGGCCATCTCCCCCCAACTAGCAGCAAACACCAAAGATGGCATCTGATCTGTGAAACACATTTTTAAAAATTGTTGTTATTAGTCGCGAAGTCGTGTCCGACCCATCGTGACCCCATGAATAACATTCCTCCAGGCCTTCCTGTCCTCCACCATCCCCCGGACTCCACTTAAACTCATGCCCACTGCCCCCATGACTCCATCCAGCCACCTCATCCTCTGCTGTCCCCTTCTTCTTTTGCCATCTATTGTTCCCAGCATTAGACTCTTCTCTAGGAAGTCCTTCCTTCTCATTAGGTGGCTAAAGTATTTGAGTTTCATCTTCAGGATCTGGCCTTCTAAAGAGCAGTCAGGGTTGATCTCCTCTAGAACTGACCGGTTTGATAGCCTTGCAGTCCAAGGGATTCGCAGGAGTCTCCGCCAGCACCACAATTCAAAGACCTCAATCCTTTGGGGCTCAGCCTTCCTTATGGTCCAACTTTCACAGCCATACATTACGACTGGGAAAACCATAGCCTTGACTATATGCACTTTTGTTGGCAGGGTGATGTCTCTGCTTTTTAGTATGCTGTCTAGATTTGCCATAGCTTTCCTTCCCAGGGGCAAGCGTCTTTTAATTTCTTGGCTGCAGTCCCCTTCTGCGGTGATCTTGGAGCCCAGGAAAATAAAATCTGTCACTACCTCCATTTCTTCCCCATCTATTTGCCAGGAAGTGAGAGGACCGGATGCCATGATCTTAGTTTTCTTAATGTTGAGTTTCAAGCCAACTTTTGCACTCTCTTTCTTCACCCACATCAAGAGGCTCTTTAGTTCCTCTTCACTTTCTGCCATTAGAGTTGTATCATCTGCATATCTGAGGTTGTTGATATTTCTCCCAGCAATCTTAATTCCAAGTTGTGATTCATCTAGCCCCGCCTTTCTCATGATGTGCTCTGCATATAAGTTAAATAGGCAGGGCGACAGTATACAGCCTTGCCAAACTCCTTTCTCAATTTTGAACCAATCAGTGGTTTCGTGTCCAGTTCTCACTGTTGCTTCTTGACCCGCATAAAGGTTTCTCAAGAGACAAATAAGATGGTCTGGTACGCCCATCTCTTTAAGAACTTGCGACAATTTGTCATGATCCACATAATCAAAGGCTTTAGCATAGTCAATGAAGCAGAAGTAGATGTTTTTCTGGAACTCCCTAGCTTTCTCCATGATCCAGCATATTTTTTAAAAAATATCTTATCTGAAATAATGATTGAGAATCAGGCAGAATGCAGCCTTCAGGTATAAAACCTGGGGGAGAAGAATCAGGTTCATGAAATATTTGCTCTTGGAAAGATTGATTACATTTTTAAGAGAAGATGTTTCCATACTCCTGGCTGTGTGTTCACTCCTCACAAATTATTCTAACAACAGGAACTCTTTCTGTTGTTTTCTTGGTTGGTTGGTTGGTTTTACCTGGTATACAATTGTTTATGTGACTTTGGAATGTAATTTCTGTGAATCACCTAGAAACATTTTTGGAATTCAGCAAGATAGTAATAAAGTTAATAAATGAATGAATTTAAGAGATGAACTTTACCTTCCTCCCTTAGCAAGAGTGGCAGATCATGGGGAAATGCATGGTGGCAATGCAGGTCTTCTCAATCTTGATCAGCGGTTCTGGGGTGCTGCACTGCATCTTTTTTAGGGTAACTATTAGTGGGGAATCTTTGGGATGGCAGCCGGTGATGAGCAAGGTTCCCCCAGGGCTCTGTCCTGGCACTGATCCTGTTCAATCTTTCCATCAATGACCTGGAAGAGATGACCTGTCTGCTGATCAAATTCGCAGATGATACTAAAATGGGGGTAGTGGCCACAATTGAGGAGCAGGTTCTAGAGATCCAGAAGTATCGACAGACTAAGGAAGGGGGGAGGGGACAACAGGATGGCTTTCCATATGGACAAGTGCAAGGTCTTGCACTTGGGGCATAGGAATGGGTGTCATAAGTACAGGTTAGGGGACAAGTGGCTGGACAGCAGCACTTGTGAAGGGGATCTTGGGGTGCTGGTTGACTGCAGGCTAAACATGAGTCAGCAGTGTGATGTGGTGGTCAAAAGGGCGAACGCCACCCTTGGTTGCATAGCCAGAAGTATGGCTTCTAGATCGAGAGAGGTATTACTACCACTCTATACAACACTGGTGTGCCTGCAACTGGAATATTGTGTTCAGTTCTGGGCTCCACATTACAGGAAGGATATAGCCAGGTTAGAGAGCAGTGCAGGGCCACAAGGATGGTGGCAAAATTGCAGGGAGCCATATGAGGTGAGACTGAGGGAACTGGGTCTTTTCAGCCTTGAGGAGACTCCGAGGGGACCCGTTAGTGACATACAGGGTCTAACAGATGGTGGTGCCCATTTTGCCATCTCCCCCCCCCTTTTTTTGCACCAGCTCGCAACCTGCCCAGCAACTGCAGGTGGAAAGAGAACCCTTCCATTTAAGGACAAATGGAAATCCTATTATATTCAGTACAATTAATGGGCTGTAAAAGGGAGCTCTTTAAAAAGTAGCTGAGGATCTATAATTGACTTAAACCAATTGGAAAATTTGTTGGTGTATAGAATAACTCCCTCTTTTCTGAACTTCCAGAGTGTCAAATGATATTTTTGGTCTTTTTGAAATTTGTGGGCATGAATGTATTGGTTGTACTTGTTTCAAATCCCTTGGCAGCTTTGTTCTATTCTACTTTATTTTACACATACTTTTCTTCTCTTTGTATTCTGTTTATGTTAAGAAAATTAAAAAAGAAAAGAAAAACGACCCTTCAATGAAGTGGAGAAGCACGCTGTGCATCCCCTTAGAAGGCACCTTGGAAGGTAGAGAGTGCTGGTGTCCCAACATTTTGAAGAGAGAAGAGAAAACGGAGCTGTACCAGAGTTCCCCAGAGTCTTGCAGGAGAAGATGACCAGTCAAAAGAGTTGGAAGGAGGAGAAACAAGTTGGCCTTCTCTTCCTTAACTCAGGAAGAAGCTAAAGCTTGCAGATAATCAGGGGTTTTTTTAGAGGGGAATGGAGGATATCTTCCTTTTTCCTTAAAACTATTAGAAATCTGATGATAAAATTATTTTTGAGACAGATTATTAGGTGGGCCAGAACTAGAATAAAGAATTGCATATCGGAGTATTAACCCTGGGCTGGCACAGGTAGAGGTTGTTGCTATTACATGCTGTCTAGTCATCTCTGATTTAGCTGTCCTAAATTCAAGGTGGTGACTTCCTTGATGGACTCCCATCCATCTTTTCTTTGGCCTTCCTTTTATTCTTCTCCCTTGACTTTCCGTAGCAAGATTGCCATTTTTGCTTCTATGGAGAGCTCTCTCTGGAACTGATCTGTCTCTCTTGTCAGTCCAGGTTATTCACAATGCCCTCCTCCAGCACCATGTTTCGAACACATCCTTTTTCTTCCCGTCTAGCTTCTTCACCCTTCGACTTTCATACTCAGACATCGTGACTGGGAGTACACTAGCTTTGGTGATCATGGGCTTGGTCTTCAGTGAACGTCCTCAGACTTGATCTTCTCTAGTTCCTTCTTTGCTGCCCTTCCAACTCTCAGTCTTCCTTGGATTTCTTGGCTGTGGCCTCCTTTGAATATGATGGTAGAATCAAAGTATGCAAAATGTGTAATTGCAGCTCCAACTCTGGAAACTTGTCCCAAGGTAAGACCTGAATCTCCAAACTGGAGCGACCTCCCATCTTTCTCACAAAGACAGCCATAAAGTTGAGATTTTTGGGGTGAGGGGAAAGGACAGGCTCTGGCAAGATGTATAGCATCCTGATGGCACCTCAGCATCCCTTTCTACAGGTTCTGAGGGGCCACACTTAGAAGGCTGAAATCAGCCATCTAAGATTTTTCCATGGCAGGAGATGCACAAAAGGCATCTTTGCTCTCACACACAGAGAAGCTCTGGGGCCTTCTCCCAAGTGCCAGTGCCAAAGGAAGCATGGAAGGGGACAAGAAGGGGAAGGGCTTTCTCTGTGGTGGCTCCCTCATCAAGGGAAAAACCTGCCCATTGCAGTCCACCTGCCACTAACTTGGCCATCATTTCAGCACAGGTTAAGACAAGCCTTTATGTCAAAGCCTTCAGAGATTTACTTGGCTCCCCAGGGGCTTGAAGGAATTGCCCATTTTCATTTTTAATGGGTCACTTTTTAATGGAAAATTTCAGCTGCTTAATTTTTTTTTAATGCTGATTGACTGTTACATTTGCATTACATCTTCTTGTTTGCTTTCATGGATTGGTTTAAACCTTCCAGAGAGCTTTGGCTATGAAATGGTACAGAAATGAATTAATAATAATGATATTGATAATGATAATGATGTAAAGTGATGAAGTGAATATACTTGTTAAATGAAAAGAGACCCTCAAAACTGTATTGTTTAATTTTTTCAGCATAGCAGGCTGAGGAATTCTGAGAGCTTTACAACTGTTTTTCTGTCTAATCCTGTATCTAATTGTGTCTCAAATGTGATGAAAAATGGAATGAAAGAGAGATCTTCCTAAAGCAAAAAATTATTTCTTCAGAAATGCCCTATACAGAGGACAACAAGAGACAGCATAACAAAGATCTAAAGATACAAACAGTGCAGGAGGGACAAGCAAAGATGCCTCATCTTACAGCTGTGCATTGCGCTACAAAACACATGAGCCTTACTGAAAAGTGAAGGTAGGAAAAATGCGGGTGTGTAGTCCACCTTAGGCTCTTCCTGCATTTGGGTCACTGCAAGGATTCACAAGATCCTGTCATGTTTTGATGAGGGAACGACCTTCCTTTGAACATGCTTGTGCCTTTGAGCCTGTGTTAATTTTTTACTGTGCGTTTACAAATCTGCTGCAACAGAGCTGCTTTTTTCACTCAGAGCACTGAGTTTGATGGCTTTTCTCTTGTGTGGATTCTCTGATGTCTTTTAAAGTGTGAGCTGTGACTAAAGCTCTTTCCACACTCTGAACATGTGTAGGGCTTCTCCCCTGTGTGGATTCTTTGATGTAATGTAAGATGTGTGCTGCGAATAAAGCTCTTTCCACACACTGAGCACTGGTATGGCCTCTGGCCTGTGTGAATTCTTTGATGGATCTTAAGTTTTCGGCTGCACCTGAATTGCTTGCCACACTCAGAACACTGGTAGGGTTTATCACCTGTGTGGATGTTTTGATGCATATGCAGGGAGAGCTTCCAGCTGAAGCCCTTTCCACACTCAGAACAAGCATATGGCTTCTTGCCCATGTGGACCTTCTGATGAGAAGTAAGGCCTATGCTTTGACTAAAACTCTTTCCGCAGTCTGAACATGTATATGGCTTCTCTCCTGTATGGATTCTTTGATGTAAGGTAAGGTGTACCCTCTGCCTGAAGCTGTTTCCGCACTCTGAGCATCTGAATGGTTTCTCCCCTGTGTGGATTCTTTGATGCACTTTAAGGTGTGCACTGTGGCTGAAGCACTTTCCACACACAGAACATGTATACGGCTTCTCCCCAGTGTGGATCTTATGGTGCGCAGTAAGGCCAGTGCTCCGCCTGAATCTTTTTCCACACTCTGTGCATTGATAGGGTTTCTCCCCTGTGTGGATTCTCTGATGCAACCTAAGACCAGCTCTTCGAGTGAATCTCTTTCGACATGCCAAGCACTGATAGGGTCTCTCTCCAGTGTGCATTCTCTGATGTACACTAAGCATTGCTTTTCGAGTGAAGCTTTTCTCACACTGCATACATTTATACGGCTTCTCACCACTGTGCATCTTTAGATGTATCATCAGGTTTCTTTTCTGCTTGTAACACTTTCCACACTGTGAACATTTAAATGTTGGTTCACTCTTTGGCAGACTTTGAGGTGTGCCACTGCTTGATTTCCTAATTAAGATTTTAGCATCTAGAAGAAATTCATTCTGATTTCCTCTCCGACCTTCCTCTTGAGTTCCTCCATTTTTAGGCTCCTTGGATTTCCTCTTCCACAGTTGTTTGGCTTCAGCTTGCTGCTCTTTGTCCTCATTCTCATCCATCTTCCCATAGCCTGAAGAAATAGAAAAGAACTGTGGGCAAGAAGAATCCATAGAATGATATGCCAACAGGGATTCCGAATCCAATCATGCAGTTACCTGCAGATGACTCTTCATCAGAGGTCTCAATACATGGCTCTTCTCCCTCTTCCAGCTGGAAAATGAGGTCAGGTTTAGGAAACAGAAGTCTTCCTTTGGAAGAGGGAAATAGATAATGGTTAAAACATATAGCAAATTTCCAGGGATTACAGAACAGCCTAACTGAACCTTCCTGGTCCAACCCCAAGAAAAGAAAAGGGGAGAATGGAAAGATTATTTGATTCCAGTGTGTGGGAATGAGGCAGAAAGACAGGAGTTACTAGTTGTCAGGAGGCAAAGTACCCGGAGGAGGGCTCTCTCTGCAGTGGCGCCCCATCTGTGGAATGCGCTCCCCAGAGAGGTCCGCCTGGCGCCATCTTTATTTGTTTTTCAGCACCAGGCCAAGACCTTTTTATTCAAACAATATTTTAATCGTTTCATATTTATATATTTTAATTGTGCAGCCAGTTTGTTTCCAGGTTTTAATTGTAATTGTTATTGCTTTATTTGTTACTTTTGTGAGCCGTCCCGAGGCTATGTAGCAAGGGAACGGCATATAAAAACATTAAATAAATAAATAAATACTACTCTGCGCCAGAAGCAGCTCTCCTCTGATAGAATCCATCAACCACATGCCCATCAACTATGCTCTGAAATTGCATTGGGAAGTCAGCTGTGGGGAGAAGAACCCAGTCGTCTCCTTCTCAGTTTAGGGAAAGAAAGCCCCAAGCTTAGAGAGGAGGTTTCCCCCAGTCTACTTAAGCATAGAAACACCCAGCCTTAGAAGAACCCTCTTAGGCCCTGCCAGGTCCTCCAGTGGGGAGCCAAAGGTCTGACGCTTCGGTGTGCAGCAGCTGCAAAAGGCTGCAAGGTGAGAACTTGTTCCCCTTCCAGGGAGATGCCATAATTGTGCAAGCCTAGAAGAAGAGAACAAGAGGGGGCCGGAGCACTAGAAGATTTATTTTTTATTTTATTTGGGATTCTTATATGCCTCCCCATTCGCATAAGCTTCGGGGCAGTTTTCAACAAATAAATAATACAAATATATAAAAACTGGAAACATCCAGGCAATAATTTAAAACCAAGAAATAAATTAACAATTAATTAAAATACCATTTAAATAAAAAGGTCTTGGCCTGGCCCTGAAAAACAAATAACAACGGCACCAGGTGGACCTCTCTGGGGAGCGCATTCCATAGGTGGGGCGCCACCACAGAGAAAACCCTCCTCCGGGTACTCACCCTCCTAATATCCTTCATGGAGGGTTCCCGGAGAAGGGCCTCTGCTGCCGATCTCAGGGGGCGGGAGGGTAAGTATGGACGCAGGTACTCCTTTAGGTAACGAGGTCCCAAGCCGTTAAGGGCTTTACAGGTAATAACCAGCATCTTGAATTCGGCCCGGACTTCAATGGGGAGCCAGTGAAGCTGACAGAGAACTGGGGTTATATGAGAACAAAGCCCAGTCCCCGTCAGCAACCTGGCAGCTCTATTTTGCACCAACTGAAGTATCCAGACCGTCTTCAAGGGCAGCCCCACATAGAGCGTGTTACAGAAGTCTAATCGGGAAGCAACCAGTGCATGCATCACTGCTGATGGTATAACTTTGAGTCCTGCAACAGCAGGGGGTTGGACCTGATGACATTCATGGCCCCTTCCAACGCTACTGTTGAAGAAATGAAATGGCCCAATGCTGCCATTGGGGAGGGAACCCTTACCCAAAGAGGACAGAGTCTGCCAGTTCTCCAGCATAACTTCCTTGTGCAAAGCCCTCTGGCCGTGATCCAGCAGGACCCTCTCGTCCTCCGTAAAATGCACAGCCACCTCCTCGAAGGTCACCACACCCTGAAAGATGATGCAGCAAGAGAGTACTCCTCATGGCTAATGGGAAATAAGCTGGAAAAGATCTCGTAGCCATTGCTTTTTCAGTGATGCACCAAGAACATAAGTGCCTAAGAAGAGCCATGCTGGGCCAAACCAAGGGTCCACCTAGGCCACCAGTCCGGCAGGAAAAGCATTCCTAGGGGGTGGTTTCCACAGGGACAAAAAGAAAGATGCTTAGAGTGGTTGGAACTCTCTGGTTTCACTCTCTGTAAGCCGCCTAGAGACTTTTTAAGTAATGGGACAACATACACAAACCTTAAATAAATAAAGTCTAAATGGTGGTTGGAACCCTAAACGGCTAGGGTCCAGGATACCTGAAGGAGTACCTTCTTCCCCATGTGCCCTCCCATCCCTAGAGATCTGAGGCAGAGGCCCTCCTCCAGGAGCCCTCCTTGGAGGAGATCAGGAGGGACAGTGCCCGGACGAGGGCCTTCTCTGTGGTGGCACCCCAACTATGGAATACACTCCCCAGAGAGGTTCCCTTGGCACCAACGTTATATTCTTTTTGGCCTCAGGCAACACCCTTTTTATTTTCCTGCTGTTTTAATGTTCAGTTAACTGGGGTTTTAGTATATTAATGGTTGGATGCTGTGGGGTTGGTTTTATTCTACTTCTTTCTTGTAAGCCATCCCAAGATGTTTGTAGGGGATGGGATGGAAAAGCGTTTAATAAATAATACATAAAATAATAGACTCACCCACCTGGGCTCCCCATCTGGCCTGCTTGTTCTTTCCCTGGCACCAAACCTCTCCGTCCTGATCCTTGCTACCAAAAACTATGCTTTCACAACACTGTTGCAATGGACAACCTGATAGGTTTCCATCAAAGCAACATGCACTTGGACAGGGAAATGTCTTCCGCATGTGAATCAGGAGTTATCTCCGGCTTCTGTACTTTTTCTACTTCTCTCTGAGCTCTTTACCTTTCCATGGAGGGTCTGCCAGTCTTCCACGGGACCCCCACAAGGCCATACTTCCATCCCTTGGCTGCACAACTTTTACCCAGACCACTGACCATCTGGGGCTTTCCCCCCACATTTGTGCCTATCCCCCCACCATTCTAAAACAAAGAAAATGCCTTTCCTAAGCTTCCGTTAATTGCAGAAGCTTCTGACTAATATAAGCTGGTATTTTGGCCTTTTTATGGCTTCAGCCCTGTTCCATTTGCCACTGGGCCTGCCCTGTTTGGTCCTCCCACCACTGGACTCCAGTTTCTGATGTTCCTCTAATACAGAATTAGGCCTGCAGGTTCAAAAGCCCTATTTTTGGCTCAAGGAGATGCAGGTTCAGAGGTATCTGGGCTCTCCCCACCCATCCTTTCCCGCCGATGGAGCCGTCTGCACAGCAACCAGCTGTGCCGCATCTCTTCCACACAAGGTGCAGAAGGCCTGTGTGCCACATCTCGCTTTGGGCTCTCCTCTGGAGATACTCAAGCAGAGGCTGGATCAGGGCCAAAGCGGGATGCTGGAGCGGCTGAGCTAGCCAAAGTGGTGGTCCTAGACATTGGCTCATCCAAATGTGTTGCACTTCCCAACTGGTGTGGCTACATTATCCCCACCCCATTCTATTCTATTCGGGGTGCTGGCTGACTGCAGGCTAAACATGAATTGGCAGTGTGATGCGGTGGTCAAGAGGGCAAACGCCACCCTTGGTTGCATAGCCAGAGGTGTGGCTTCTAGATTGAGAGAGGTATGGCTACCCCTATATACAACTCTGGTGTGCCCACAACTGGAGTATTGTGCTCAGTTCTGGGCCCCTCATTACAGGAAGTATATAGCCAGGTTAGAGTCAGAACAGTGTAGGGCCACAAGGATGGTGGCCGGTTTGCAGGGGATGCCGTATGAGGCGAGACTGGGTCTCTTCAGCCTGGAGGGGATCTGTTGGCAACATACAGGTATGAGAGGGGGTGTCACACAGAGGTGGGTAGAGACCTGCTCTCCCCTGCAGAGGAAGCAGGATGCACTTCAATGGAGCAAAGCCCAGGGAACCCAGGTTCAATTTAGATGCCAGGAAGTACTTCCTAACAGTTAGGACACCGAGGGTATGGAATGGGCTTCCACAGGAGATCATTGAGGCCCCATCGGTGAGGGTGTTCAAAGATAGGCTGGACATACACATGGTGGGCATGTCGTGAGTGGAGCTGACTGGAGCTGGGGGCAGAATAGATGGCCTGGCAGGCCCCTTCTGACTCACTCTGTTTCTATATTTCTATGTTTCTTTTCTTTCTATTCTATTCTATTCTATTCTATTCTATTCTATTCTATTCTATT